CCTACTTCAGACTGCCACCTGCTGTGGTGTGGGGTCATCCACAGGCTGCAGGTGGATATCTGCTCTACCGTGGAGCTCCATGGGCTGCAGGGGGACAGCCGGCCTCACCATGGTCTTCAACATGGGTTGCAGGTTGCAGGGGAATCTCTGCTCCAGTGCCTGGAGCACCTCCTGCCCCTCCTTCTTCACTGACTTTGCTGTCTGCAAAGTTGTTCCATCTTCACATTTTCTCAGTCCCCTCTCTGGTTGCAGTTGTGCAGTTTTTTCCCTCCTTCTTGAATATCTTATCACAGAGATGCTACCACCATCATTGATTGGGTCAGCATTGGGCAGCGGTGGCTCTGGCTTTGAGGCAGCTGGCATTGGCTGTATCGATGTCACAAATAGGTAATTTAGGTTGCTTAAAGAATCACCACCAAAGATATCAGAAAGCAAATGATTTTAATATATATTTGTAAAAAGCGCGACTTAACAGAATCCGATGGCGAGGTTCACTCTATTACTTACTCAACATGGAAAAGGTATACAGAGAGAAACCAAATTACAATTAAATTGGAATGATTTACTCGGGTATCAAATTGAGTTAATGTGTATGTTTGTTGAGAAAAGAAAGTAGGAGAGACCCTCCTATTGAGTCATGAGGTTCAGAGTAGACCGAAATCCACCCCTAGTCCCGGACTTGGTCAACGGTTTATGACTAAGGTTAGGTAAGGAAAGTAAAGGAATACCCTCCCGTTGAGTCACGAGGTTCAGAGTGGACCCCCATGCTTTCTAAACTCCTTCTCAGAGAGGAGTCTAGGTGCAGCTGAATCCACTCCTAGTCCCAGACTTGGTCAACGGTTTATCACTAAAGGGGCAGGATATCGAGGATTCTGGTCTAGTAATATATGTTGTGCTTGGGGTAACTTTAGGACAGCAACAATCTAATACAAAATAACAGCAATCAAATTCACTAATGATATTGTGATAAATCACAGTATCAAATCAAATAAAACTTAGCAGCATAATCAACTTAAACTTACTAAGATTCCTTAATCACACACACATATAGGTGTAGAGACAGAGACACATAAAGAGATATAGAGAAAAGGTACCTATCCCCCTGGAATTCAGTCAAATACATCAAATGTTTTGCGTTGCTCAACGGGTGCACAGTCAAGCCTCTGAGTTGATCGCGAACTTTCACAGACTTCACATGAAACTTTCACTTTCTCAGAGTTCACACCTCTCTGAGAGGTGTCCCACTCAGAGGGAGGTGCTGGTCGCAGCCCGCTGCGGTCCAGGAGAGCTCAAAGGGTCTCACTTGGGACCAGTATTTATAGGACTGGGAGATGATTGACTTTAGGCATCAGTGAGTTTCCACAATCCAGGCGGGTGGTTTCTCAAGTTTTATGCGTAAGGCTGCCAGGATTGTCAGGAGATAATTGATTAGTTCTGTTTGTGTTCTGTACTTTGTTTAGGCGATCAGTTCCTGATACACTCAGTGCCATTCTCCTCCTTGGCTACACAAGAGTGCTTGGTACGGTTGAGGGGCTCTCAACTGCCAAAGCCTTTGTTTGGAGGCCAAGGCTTGTCAGGCAACTTAGGGCAGCCCAGGTACAAGGTGAAGGGGGGGTGCGGTGGGAGCGCACCACCACAATCCACCCCGTGACTAAAGTCAATTCATCACTTTCTCACAGAGTGGTGGTGTGGTTGCCTCTTGCCTCTGTGCCTATAAATAGAGTAATATTATATTCCAATTGTAATTTGGGGGGGGATTATTTAAGGTGAACCTTTGTAGTCAGTGAAGATTTCATTAGACGAGAATAAATAACATTATACATGTGAGGAGGTTTTTCCACTAACATAATCTGGTGCGCCATTCACCAAGTTTTGATGTATAGAATAATGATTGACAATAAACATAGTATAACAGGAGTCAATATACTTATGATGGGATGTAGCATCCGGCTCAGAATTCCTGTTGCTGTTGGAGACCATCCAAACAGTGTCCCACCACTGATGTTCCCCTTCTTTCTTCACTTCTCTTTCCAAGACACGGTGTATTTCTGTTGCATCGTAGTGAACAGTGATCAGAGTGTCGTGTCCATTGTTTCAGATGCGTTCTAACAGTTGATTCAGGTCATCATGTTGTAACAGTTTTCTCACCAATGTGAGATTCATCCCAATAGGGGTAGGCAGTAAATCTTGACAGGATACATAGAATGTAGCAACTGATAAGACGTGACAGGAGCTGAATAATTAAAGTCACATCCCATAATTTTGGTAAAGTTACAAACACAAATATTTGAGTGGTTGCTTGTCTCCACAGTTGTGTCCTTTGCAAATGTAGAATCACAAAGGGTTCTCATACAAACACATCCATTTCCAATATACAGCACAGTTTCAGGGGTCTCACTGGGGTGTACTTCGAAATGACAGACATTTTTCCCAGTATCAAGACAAATGTCTTGAGCCTTGATGGCATTACTTTCACAGATAAATCCCTGTTGTTCCTGTACCACACATGCATCAACATCGACAGTTTGCCTTTTGTTTTCATTTTGTTGGGCCCATATTCTATGTCCAAATGGGTAGAGTATGGTTCCATGATGATTTCAACGCAACGCAATGATTGGGTATATGGTGTATACTGAAGCATTGCGCATTGTCAAAACAAAAGCTGTGGCTTTACTGTCTGTGGAGTCATAAGTGAAATTAATTAGTTGCCACCAAGATTGGAATTCCTTTTCAAATTTGTTTGCATTATCCCAGGTTATCTTTTGGTCGGATTTTGGCACTTCCAGTGTAATTTAGTAATGCATGGTCCCAAAGATTTTGTGCCCAAATTGGAGGGATCATACTTATCCCGAATAAGAGGGAAAGCAAGATTGAGTAGAGAACATGCTGCCGTTGCTGCTATCGAAGTAGATTAATTTTCTCCTGTAAAAGAAAAGAAGGAAATTGTTTTGGTGGGGAAGGCCAGATGGGTTAGCCCTTGTTATGATGCAGGAGAAATCCATAAAAGTGACTACAGTGGATGAGCAATGATAGAAAGTCCAGGTACATGTATTCACCAGTATCCTAAAGTACCCATAATTTGTTGTAATTCCTTTTGAGATTGGAGCATTTGTAATTGTTCTCTTTTATTTAAGGTGTCCGGTGGAATTGCAGAGCCTTTCCCCAGGTGAGCATGTCTGTGTTGGTCTGGCCAGCCATTCTTGGTTCCTCCCTGTGCTCTCTGCAGGGCTCCAAGCCAACAGTGTTGCTCTGCAGAGCGAGGAGGCTGTGGTGCCCTGAGGGTCACCATGGGGTGACCCTGCACTGGCCATGCTGGTCAGGGTGGGGATTAGACCCAGCTGGAGGGGGTCTCTGCTGCTGAACTCATCTTCCCTGATTGCTCAGTACTGAAGAATGGGGCTGGGCAGGACTACAGGGGGTCTCTAATGGCACAAAATGCAAGCGAAAGCTGCGCTAGGTCCAGCCTGTAGCATTTCCAAGAGGTTGTCCTTAACCACTGTCCAGTCTTGTGTCGCTTTGCCTTCTGACTCCTCACAGGCTCTCCTGGCGTTGCAGAGCCCTCGTTAGCCTATAGTCTCCTCTGGTTCACCTTTTCCTCTGGGAGACTCCTCCTTGGATTTTCACTCATTTTATGAGGTGCCACTCGCTGCCCACCCAAACTCACATGCTGTCCTTGGAGGTCCCTTGAGCTCTCCTGGCAGCTCCAGATTCCTTTTCAGGGTGGCATCTAACATCAGCCCCACTGCAGGTGGGACAGTGCCAGGCAGATAAGTCAAAGACCATTTGCTGTCTGCTTGGACACATGCCATCAAGAAGGGAGCTCTTGGTGCAGCCCTTCATCCCTGACAGATCACCCTGGGACACTGAGATTGTCCTCCTAAAGCCATTGAGAACCCCAGAAGAGCAAAAGTCCTTTTGAGGGAGCAGCCTCTTGGGTATATTCCTGACACCAGCTTTGGAAGAGGCATCTAGCATTCTGGCCTTGCCCTGAGGTGTCCTTTTGGTGATGGTGGTGCTAGCAGAGAGGCCAGCTCTGACAGAGTGGTTCACATTGCCTGCTCCTGCTCGCAGCCACAGGGATGCCACTGTTGATAAAACAGGACTGTCACAAGTTACAGGAGATCTTAGGGCTCACACAAACCTGAGGACACAGCAGGACAGAGTGGAAGTGAGGAGACACTGGCACTGAAAAGATGATGTCCTGATGCTGTCCATGGCAGTGGCTGCAGAGGAGCAGCAGCCGTGACCCGAAGGCATCAGAGAGGGAGTGCCCACCGAGACAGCAAGGGCAACTCTGAGAGCCACAGAGCTGTTCCTCCATACGACATCGGGACTTTTGGCTCCTTTACACCTCCTGCGTGCTCGCACTGTGCCCCCAGGTCCCAAGAAGATTTGAAGAGATGGCAGCTCAGACAAATTATTTTCTGATGGCTTCTTTATATATGCAAGCAGGCTGGTCCCATAGGTACAACAGGATAGTAGCTCAGAAAAAAGAAGTTGAATGACAAGAAGTGGGACGGATAACACTATGTAGTTGCAATTAATATTATCACAGGTATAAAACCCAAATATAAAATAAGAAAAGAACAAATGATAGTCCTGACTTTTCCTGAGGTACCCTGGGAGTTTTATAAGCATGATGGATACCTTAATCATGCTGAAATAGTATGTGTTCAACTACTTTCTTAAGGGCACCCTTGATCTCCTTGTTCCTCATGCTGTAGATGAGGGGGTTCAGTGTCGGAGGCACCACTGAGTACAGAACTGCCAGCACCACATCCAGGGACTGGGAGGACATGGAGCGGGGCTTCAGGTAGGCAAAAAAAGAGGTGCTGACAAACAGGGAGACCACAGCTAAGTGAGGGAGGCATGTGGAAAAGGCTTTGTGCCGTCCCTGCTTAGAAGGGATCCTCAGCACAGCCCTGGAAATCTGTGCATAGGACAGGATGATGAAAACAAAACACCCAAAGAGTAAACAGGCACTTACTGCAAGAAGTCCAACCTCCCTGAGGTAGGAGTGTGAGCAGGAGAGCTTGAGGATCTGGGGGATTTCACAGAAGAACTGGTCCACAGCATTGCCTTGGCAGAGTGGTATTGAAAATGTACTGGCCGTGTGCAGGAGAGAATTAAGAAACCCACGGCCCCAGGCAGCTGCTGCCATGTGGACACAAGCTCTGCTGCCCAAGAGGGTCCCGTAGTGCAGGGGCTTGCAGATGGCAATGTAGCGGTCATAGGCCATGACAGTGAGAAGAAAATATTCTGTTGCAATCAAGAAGGGAAGCAGCAATATCTGCACAACACATCCTGTGTAGGAGATGTCCCTGGTGTCCCAGAGGGAATTGGACATTGAATTGGGGACAGTCGTGGAGATGAAGCCCAGGTCAAGAAAAGAGAGGTTGAGGAGGAAGAAGTACATGGGGGTGTGGAGGCGGTGGTCGCAGGCTATGGCGGTGATGATGAGGCCATTGCCCAGGAGGGCAGCCAGGTAGATGCCCAAGAAGAGTGAGAAGTAAAAGAGCTGTAGCTCCCGAACGTCTGTGAATGGCAGGAGGAGAAACTGAGTAATGGAGCTGCTGTTGGACATCTGATCCCTTAGCTCATAAGTTACTGACAAAGGAAGAAAGCACACTCGTAAGTCAGGACTGCTCTGAGCAAAGCTGTTCCCATTCCCTGCCCCTTCTGACCCCTAGCCCCACCTCCACAACATACATTGCTTTTCTCCTTTCTTTCGGGACCTTAGTTCATCCCCAGGTTGGGATTCTGGATCCCCCAGAAACAGCTCTGGTTTGTGCTGGCTGAGTCTGATGTGAGGCGTAGGGCTCTGCCCACAAACTCCAAATGAGTCATCCCTGCTCTACAGCACCTGGAAAAGTGGGTGCCAGTCGTTATGGCTTACACAAACCTAAGGACACAGCAGAATAGTTTGGAAGTATGGACAGACCAGCACTGAGAAGATCGCATCCAGTTGGTGTCCATGGCCAGTAGCTCCAGGAAAACAGCAGCCCTGACACACTGATTATGTCTGTAATCCATTTGTAATATAGAGGAGCTGCTCAGCACCTTCCAGCAGGACAACCCCAGGGAAACTCCTGGATGTCCTAAAATTGCAGGGACCTGAGCAGAGCCAGCTCAGTCTCCAGCCCTGCACACTGCACTGTCCAGAGCCCCACAGATTAGAACGAACTGAAGGGCTTTGCTCCCATGGACACAGGTGCATCCCAGGACCTTTAGCATTGGTGTGTGAGCTGCACCTTGAACCTCCCTTGTTCCCAGAGAGTCCGAGGCTAAGAACAAGGGAAGCATGGACAGAAGGGGAAGATGGAGAAACTCCTCAATGCTCTTGTTAAGGGAGCACTTGGAGTTTCTCCTCCTGGGGATCAACTTGCAGAGAATGTGAGCTTGAGAACCCATGGCCTTGATAGCAGAAGCTCTGCTGGGTGGGAAAAGAGACCAGGGGGTTGCTCAGTGGAAGGCATCTGCACTGCAAGGGATGGCAGGGAGGTGCCAGAATCCCCCTCCCAAGGCTTATGTGTTAGCTCTTCAGTCTCACTCCCTGCTCATGTCTCTGCTGCCTGGAGATGTCCCTGCTGGCAGTTGCTACTCTGTCCCCACATGTCCTCCGTGTCAGTGCTCACAGATCCTGTCCCACCCGCTGTGTGCTCAGCTCTGCCCTGCAGACACCTCCTGGAAGCAGGGCACTGCCCATGGGCAGCTCAGTGGTTGCAGGCTCTGATGGGAACATCAGACCAACCGTGATGAGGCTGGAAAGGCGCTACTGGTGCTGTCTGTAAGCCACAGGGTGTTGATTTCTGATAGTCCCAGGTTTATTCATCTCCAAGAGAAACCGATTTGGAATTTAAGCGCCTCCTCACGGAGCGGTGAATTTCTATGTGCCATTGCCCATCCAGACAACCAAGACTAGAAAACAGGAAGAACATGATCCTACCTTTCAAGTCGGGACTGCTTTGATGTGTGTCTTGAAAAGTCCCCTTGGAATTATCCTGAGGATGCTCTGGGGCTGTGAGCAGCCCTGACCCATGCAGCGCTCTCATGAAAGCAGAAGGATCCTGCCCTGTCGGGTGTCATTCCTTCCACCCACAGCTTCTCCCTACAGTGCCGTGGGGAGCTCCCCGCCCTGGCTCACAGCCCCCTGGGGCACAGGGACCCTGCTCTGAAGGACAGCCCTGGGCACCCTTGGCAGCACACCCGCCCTCACGCCCCAGCAGCCATCCGTGGCAGAAGGCAGCCGTCGTGCCCTGTCTGTGCAGGGAACCCCTGCTCAGGAGCACATCCTCCTTTTCTACACCAGTGAGAGACCCCACAGGCTGTGGGCTATGACAGCTTTAAGAGATACTTCCAGGAAGTTAATTTGCATTGCCCTGCACCCAGGGCTCTAATGGGCTGCCCCCTTTGAGCTCTCAGCATCCTCCCACTCCTGATGGCCTTTAGCCTCCCTCTGCCCCGCACGTCTCCCCTCAGCGCCTGCAGGCAGTGCCTCACCCCTGCTGTGCTTTGCAGAGGAGCTGCTCCTGGGCAGAGCTGTCTCTCTGCAGCACTGACCACTTGCCATGAGCTCCCTCCATCCCAGGAGCCCGGCCCAGCTCAGCAGCAGAGGACCAGACCAAGGTATTTTAATGACCCCTCTGGTGGGTTTGGTGTTGAGTTAAAGAACTCAAAGAACTGAGAGGAAGCTGAAGAAACCTCTCAAGAAGTCAATGTCAGATGAAAACTCCCTTACTGGAGCTTTAATGGGTCCCACTGAGGACTATTACCAACAAAGCCTCCCTGGAGGAGGCATTCGAGAAGAAAACTGGAGGCAATAATGACATGTAGGCAAATACAATGTAAAGGTGGCTCTGATGTTGAGTAAACCTGTATGTGTGATATTAAGCCAAGCCAACAAGCCCTTACCCCCAGGCCCTGTGAGGGGAGATCCTGTCCCTCACACATTTCTCAGGGCTCTTCCTGGGGCAGTGTGATGTAGGAATGTGCAATGCCAAGTGTCGGACTATGGTACGACACCTCCCAGGCTCCTGGGGATTCTGATGGTCACCCTTTTTTTTCTTTCCCCTTTTCTTTAAAGGGATACTGTTAAATCACCACTTGCAGTCAATGCATTGTAGGATTAAACTTTTTGGAAAAATCAAATACAATGGTTGTGCTCTTGGTACTGACTTACAAGTATTCCTTAATACTTTCCTATGCCATCACTTCTTTTGTGACTTTGCCCCATTGCTGGAGCTTTCCTTCAGTGCCGTAGGTGTGGTACAATCTTCCTCCTCATGTTCACACTAGCCTCTTTCGGGTGCATCACAGCTGCTATCCTGAGGATCCCATCCTGTGTGGGCAGGCATACAGCCTTCACCACCTCCTTCTCTTACGTCACCATCACCATCACCAGTGTTTTCTATGGCACTTTCATTGTTGTCTACCTGCTGCCCAGAACAGCTCAGCAAACTGTTCTCTTTTTTCTACGCCATCCTCATGCCGCTGGCCAACCCTCTCATCTACAGCCTGAGGAACAGGGAAGTCAGAGAGGCCTGGAGAAAAGGGCTCAGGAAAGTCCCGGCCAGCACCCAGTCCTCGCAGAATTGTTAGACTATGATGTAGAAATGGTCCTTCTGTGAATTGCCTCAGAAAGAAAATGTGGAAAAGTCCCTGCTTGCTTGTATCATTAATTATAAATAAAATCAGTTGAATCTCTGCTGTTCCTGTGGAGATAAAACAGGGATTTTGGCTGAAAAGACAGCTTTTCCCAAGGTGTAGTGTCCCTCATTATCTAAGTGTGGACTCCTGTGATGATATTCATCTCTGTCAGTTGAGTACATTTCCAGTGCAGAAGTCTCAGTCTCACCCCATATCCCCTCTTTTCCTACCTAGAGGACCTCCACAGCAGATGTCAAGGGGAGGTCCATGGGGATGAGGGAAAAATAATGGCCGTGCTGAATGTGAAGGTACCTAAAAGGGCTGTGTGGTTAACAGCACTCACGCCTCTTAGTCTTCACCGCCATGTGGTCTGCCACTCAGCCCATCCTCAGGTTGATTGCTAACAGAGGCCACATCAGTGTGCATCCATAGTGTGTCCAGTGTGATTGGAGAATGCTGCTTGGCTGGCACATCCCCTTGGGTAGAAAAAACATCCCTCAAGAATTTTAGGCCAGAAGTTTAATTATGAATAGCTACTTGTCAACATGAGCCCTCCTCACAGACTGCAATAATGGTGCATTGCACCAGAATGACAAATGAGAGTGACACATGCAGAAAATGATGGCATGAGCACGATGATATTGCAACATCCCTGAGGTCTCTTGCAAATGCAATAAAATCCAGTAGTATTAGAAAAGACCTAAAAATCTCAGGCGTACATTTGTAAGGTTGACTTTTTCACTATGAAAGGCTGAGGGAGCTAGGTTTGTTAAGTTATCAGAAGAGAAGGCTTTGTGGACCACTAATAATGGCCTTTCCACCTCTACCAGGAGCTCATCAAGAAGAGAGAGATGGGCTCTTCCATGTCATATGTGATAAGAGGATGAGGGTCTATAGGGATCATTCAAAACAAGTGAGGAAAACCTGTTTTTCCATGGACATTGTCAACCCCTGGAGAAGGTTGCCCAGAGATGCTGTGCTGTGTCAGTCCTGGGAAGGCTTGAAAGCCAATGTGAATAAATCCCTGAGCAACTTGGTCTGAAATGATAGATGCCCTTACTGTGAGACGGACCTCCCGGTATCCCTTCCAACATGAGTGATTGTGCATTTCCTTCTACCAGAGGCCTTCCCTTGACCATGCTATGGAAAGCACTCAGGTTCCCCATGACGCTGGAAGTAAGTAGACATAGGTTTGGTCAGATCATTTGTATTGTTCTTGTCCCACACCAGTCACTGCTGCTCAGATGCAGAGCTACTTGGCAGGTACCCCAAACAGCCTTCATCTTTGTCCTTTGCTTCACCTTCTATTTTCTTTCTCCCTCTTTTCATCCAGGTTCTTCCTTTTGATCATTCTTGTGCACTCCATACAAACATGCCGCTTCTGTTTGCTCTTTCCTCACTGGCCCTGGCTTTACTTGCTTTGCAGCTACTTCTGAGGTGGTCATCATGGTTTATCCTATGTTGGAAGGAAATTGCATTAAAGTAGCACCACCTTTTAGTATTTGTAGTGCCCTGCAGCTCCCTGTGCTGTTATCTTCTGAAAGACACCACTATCAGGGTGGCCATCTGCACACAAATATTTAATAGCTGACCAAATGGAGCTTGAGTCCAGGGGGACCTTGAGAAACTCTAGGGTTTGGCCAACAAAAGAACCTCTTGAAATTTTACAAGGAGAAGTGGCCAGTCCTGCACTGGGAGGAGAGGAACATGAATGAGGTTATTCAGGGCCAGCTGGGATCTGACTGGCTGAGGAGTGACCCTGAGGAGAAGGGCCTGGGCACTATGAGGGATACCATATGAGCCAGTGGTGCACGCTCACCATGAACAAGGCCAGCTGCATATATGGGTCTGCATTAGGAGAAGTGTGGCTACACAGACAGAATCACTAAGCTTGGAAAGGACTTTCAAGATCATCAAGTCCAACCATTAATCCAGCGC